TATTTTATTATATTTTATATTTATACGACTAAAAATAATTAATCGTCATATAACTACAATTTTTTTCAGATAATATACAAGTGTTATCGCTGATTGCCATTTCTTTGGGTCTTGTGAATGTAGGCTCAGGAAATTCCGATGTATCTTCAGCAATCTTATTGAAATTATTGGGACTATCTATAAAAGAACTTGTTATTACACATTCCAGGTATAATTGTTATATTTATGGATAATGACTTTTACATAAAAAGTCATACATAAATAATTATAAATATTATACGTAAATGTGTAGGTATAACATAGGAATCATTTTTATTACGCAGATTTTTGGCGTTAGCTCTAGGAATGATTTATATGGGAACTCGAGATGCTATAGAAACACCATCCGCAGCCCTGGAGGCTTTGCCGGAACCATATAACTTTGCTTCGCAAACTATGCTACAAGTAAAATTAAATTGTTATGATTTTCTCGAAAATTATCTTATGAGAAAGTTTTTCATAATCCATACAACAAAAGATTATTATAATTGCGTAACTTCTTCGAAAAGTATCGTAAATCAATTCAAATCTGATGAAAGTAATTGTTAGATTTGCGCATATGCGGGCACTGGTGATGTATTGATAGTGCAAGAATTATTAAGGATCTGTTCGGAAACAATTGAGGAAGTAATGAGCACAAAAACAATACCTGAAAATACTCCGATACCAAGTTGTTGCGATCAAAGATCACAAAGTTTTAAATTAGAAAAGAATAAAAAAGACGATAATCAAATCGAAGAACTTGCTAAGTAAGTGTATCATTAAAAGTAAAAATATAAAATGTTAAATAAGATATATTATTAATAAATAATTATTAATAAATAATAATTTAGAATAGCAAATATAAATAAGTAACTTTTTCATGGATGTAATTTGAGAAAAAAAAATTAATTTTTTGCTTCCACATATTTAATACTAAATAATTATAGTTAAAAAATAATCAATGTTTGTATTAATTTCAGAGACATTGGAGTTTCACAGGCAATAGCATCCCTTGGGGTAGGTGTAGTTGGGCTTGGAGAAGGAAAAGAAAATTCGAGGATCTTTGGTCAGGTAAAAAAATTAAGTATCCATATGAGACCTCAATAAACTGTAATGAATATTTATGCTCCTATAAATACCTAAGACGGAAGGAGATAAAAACATTTATCAATCATCACAAATCTCAATTCACCTTAATTAATGTTTATGGGTTCCTATAATTCATTCACAGCGATTTAACTCTCTTTCCTTTCGTAGTATAGAACTAGAAGCGGAAGATTAGTTAGAAGTGTAATCGACTTTAATTAATATTTATGTTGGGAATGATTCTTATGATCCCTTGAGTCCTCGTTACGATTACAATTGCTTAACAAATCAGGTTGGAAGATATGGGCCAACGCCAGCGCGACGTGCTATGCCTCTCGCATTGGCCTTATCCTCTCTGTCGAATGCTGACCCAGCTGTTGTAGACGTGCTGAACAAATACAGCCACGACAATGACGCCGATGTCGCTTTAAATGCGATTTTCGCCCTCGGTCTGGTAGGTGCAGGTACCAACAATGCGCGATTGGCAACGATGTTGAGACAGCTGGCGGCTTATTACGCGAAGAATCCCTCTCACCTGTTCTTTGTGCGTATTTCTCAGGGTTTGGTGCATCTGGGCAAGGTAAAAGACTCGATAAAGTCGAGTCAATAAAAATGTTTATAATAATAGATAATGATAATCAGTTAATAATAATCAGTTAATAAACAGATAACAATTTCTTTCTGATGAATCGATTCGTTTCTCTTTAACATAAAATTAAAATTTATTAATGATCGTTCTTTTTTTTAAAAAGTTGCATCCTTATGTATTATATTTTTTCTTTTAGGGCACTTTATCTTTATCGCCTTTGCGATACTCTTCAAAAATTTTAGACTATACCGCCCTAGCTGGTTTGATGGTCGTTCTCGTTGCGTGTTTAGATTGCAGAAATCTCATATTGTCTCAATCTCATTATTTAATGTACTGCTTGGCGATCGCGATGGAACCAAGATGGCTGGTCACTGTGAATGAAAATCTTACGGTATGCAAAAGGATTGTAGGATGTAAATATTCCAGATTTAGAAACAATATTATCAATACTTTACAGAATTTACCGGTATCGGTAAGAATCGGTCAAAACGTGGATGTTGTGGGGAAAGCAGGTAATCCGAAATCTATTGTTGGCGGTCATGTACAAACTACACCAGTGTTGCTGTGCACGGGCGAAAAGGCGGAATTAGTGTCGGATCAATACGAGCCGCTTTCTAGTGTGCTGGAGGGTTTCGTAATCCTTCGTGAAAAAGTAATTTCGTATTAGTCTTATATCCTGCGACGCTTCTATCTAATGTGAATTTTTTATAGCAGACTGCAACGAGTTAGAAAAGCTCCGAGTTCGAAGTTCTGCAGTGGTCCTTTTGAATTGCCTTTTGATTTAGATGAGTTTTTTGTCAAAGCAAGGCAATACCAGCAAACGTCTGCAAGTGGGACGTGACGGGAATTAAAAGGCTTTTCTCTGAGGATCTATATGAAACAGGTCAGGAGTCTTGTGCGTGTAGCCTTTATTGTGGGATATAAGCTGTTTGATAATTAACGCAATAGTGATAGTAACTTTTGTTAGCTTGTTCGTATGTTTTGCATTTATTTAACTTTAGGGACTAGCGGAAGCAATGTGCTCTATACAACAGAAACATACATTGGTTCGCATTGCACAGTGGGAACAATAATGTTGCGCCATGATCAGGAATATCGCTCGTATACAAAATCAATAAAATATGAAATTTATTTATAATAAGAACAAATCAAAAGGGGATTACACGAATGTTTTTATGCGAGTAAAACATTTTTAAAAGAAAAAAAAAAGAAAAGGAAAATTACAGTGTTGATCTTAAATGACGTTGAAGTTGTATGTTAACGATCATGAAGCAAGTCAGATTTTCTTCGTGATGAAACTGTTACTCAAGGCAATACAAAGATCTAAAGATCAGATCAATCGTCTGAAAGATCGTCGCTTCAAAAGAATCTAAGATGCCTTGGTAGGAATTGTAAGTCTTATATAAAGCGTGTGTGAGACGCTTTGTAAGATTAACAATTCCTCTCTTTCTCGCATGAAATGTCCCACGACATTTTATTTGTTAGGCACATGACTTAAGATAAGGGGGCGAAATGTGTGAATAATAAAACGCAGCTGATTTGATAAAACGTCGCACCCGCGTTTGTAGTATAGTTCGGTGACTTCGTTCGAACGAAGCGTGTCAATTTTATTGCACGCATGCATATTCGAATACGTAGTAAACTCATCTACATATAATAATCATACGGCGTAACAGTCAAAACTTCGATACGTCGCGTTTCTTATCTATATATGAAAATTCAACTTTATTCGCTTTGCATAAATCGGCTCTATTCATTGGACACGTGTACGTCCGATATCAGCTTAACTGCTTCGGCTATTACTTCGAAACTTTTTTAATTCTGTGCAGGACCTAATTTAAGGGTGGAGGATAATCACTGTGGTATCCATAAAATTAAAAGTTTTACTTGATCAATAGTAATCAATAGTAATCATAGTAATCTGGTAAAATTATCGCGTATCCTGAAAATAGCATGAAATAACTTTTGAAATATAATAAGATATGTGAAAGTGATTTACACATTTCGCACACAAAATACATCTCTTCCTTAAATGTAAAATATTATAAATTTGTATATCTAACATTTATAAAATGTCTTATAAATATAATGAGTATAATATTTAAAAAAATTTAATATATTTATAAATATTTAAATATTATATATGCAGCATATAATATTTATGTATTATATAATATTATACATATAATATTCTTCTATGACTTTTTTAAGAAGTTTTCCTTTTTGAAATACTATATAAGCTCTTTCCTTTAGAAAATTTTAAAAAGCATTACTCAAATAGATGCTATAAATACTCGATTTGAACATTTTCAAAACTTGTTTTATGCTACTTCCAAAATATTGCGAAAATTACTATGAATTGGATATGATAATTCATATATGATTAAAACATACTTCCTGTTATTGTTAAATCCACCACAACTATAAATTTGGTCCTGATTTTCTTATTCATACTCTAATGTAGAGTGATCGAGTAATTATAGAAGTCTATCGCAATCCGCACCGCAGAGCGTTTCTTTAGTTAATACATCAAGGATAATTAAAAGGATAAAGACAACTTGATATCTTCTTACAAGGACATCGTATTTGCGCGTAAACTATTTTATAAAATAATTCTTGTCGTAGAGTAAATTAAAAAGTGACAAATCACACGCAACTCGTTCGATTAATCCAGAGCAATCGCACTATTCAGCAAGCTGGGCTCACCTACTCTTAACTCTTCATGTTGCACATAGTAAAATAATAATAATATTAATAATAGTAGTTAAAAACTAATAATAATGATAAATCCTACATAGTAGCGTTTGTTTCCTTGCATCATAATCTTCCACAAAGATTAATATGTATGTATGCGATTTAGCAAATACGCGGTTATGTACTTTGAAATATCCTAGCTGCTCCTCCATGCCGCTTTTTCGATTTCTTGATTAACTTCTTATTTACAATAGCAAATTGTATTAAGAGTTTTAATCGTAACTTTTTTCTATTTGATTATCTTCTCCCCTACATTAATATCAACCCTATTCGTCAATGTGTATGAGTGAAAGTTGCGATATAGAGTTCCAAGATGGAACCTGAAAACGACTACGTCGCTAAATAAATCGGGTCATAGGTAAAGCTGCCTGTGGATTCGTTGCTGCGAGAAAAAAATTGACGACAAGTGGCAGTGCTTTCGCATCATTATATTGTATTTGTGTGCGTATGCGTCTGCGTATGTTTGCATGCGCCCCAGTCTAGAGTTTATTTTGACGAACGCATGTCAATCGGCAGAATGGTCGAAATGGTTGTCGAACACATTTTTTTCCCCGCGATGCATCTACCCACGCAGTAGGAATGTACGGTCCGTACCGCAGTAATGCAATCGCGACACGACGCGATGTGTGTTAAGCAAAAGATGTGACATGAATTAAAAGAGACGGGCACGTCTTTTGATTTCATTGCGACGCCATTGTGGCAGTCTGTAGAATTCCGATCGAGAGCACTGGAGAATAGCTTCAAATTCTGCATCGGAAAGGTGTCGCTAAAAAAAGTTCGAATTATTTTCACATTTTTGTATAATCACGATTAATGTATCAATTAAATTCAATAAATAATGCAATGAGAAGAAACAATAAAGAATATTATTCATAAAAATAAAAAATTATTACATTATTATTGACAATACTGTATAATAATTTCATAACTTATAAATTAAGCGATTAAAACAATTAATGTTAGTACTCACTTCGAGATTGCAACGATCCACATCAGCTGGCAGCCTGTAGTTGGTGATAACAAGTAAATGATAAGGATAAAGTTTGGGTGGTTCGGTTGGTGCCGCCCCCATGTCCGGCAATGATCTTCTTACGTGATGACCCCCGTGGCCCCCAACAACCGAACCTAGGCCACCCGTATATGTGGTGGATGATGGAAGGATTCCACCATCATTCTGCGCCACAATCATACAAAATTATGAGTCACAATAGAAACAGAATGTGAATAATACGACAATGACATGGACGATGCGAGAAAGATGTAAGGGGTTGCATTTGCATTCTTCGAATTCTTAGAAAAGCAAAACGAATTTGAATGAGGAAAGATTCGCCAGATGATATTTTTAGAGAGTAATCCGATATCAAAGATAAGTTTGATAATAAACTCGTAAAAATGCAATAAGAACTTTTCAAATGTACATATTTCAATTAAAAATTTCCAGTATCATGCATCCCCCAAAAATATTCTTGTCTCTTTCCACGTCGTTTTCAGTAAACACATTTTTTACACACTACAAAATTGTTATACTTTCGCTGTATAATAGAATATAATTAACAAATTCTTATGTACGAATTCGTATGACTCAATAGACTGCTTCAATATCAATTAATCAATTTCTAATAGTTATTAAAAATACTAATTGGGATTTTAAACATTTTCGTTCCTTTAATATTTAGAGTACATTGATTTAATCAAAATAGATTGAAGCATTCTACGTGCAAACACTTCAATTTTTTTTCCAAATTTACGCACTATATACAATTTTTGACTTCTATAAATAATGCTGTACAGTTATCTTCTTTCAAATGCGAATAATGTATATATACATGCAGTCTCTTGAAAAATCATTTTGTATAAAAAAAAAGTTTTTCTATTAAAAATATTATATATACAAACTTAATACATAAAATATTTAAATAGCTATTTTATAGTACTTTAAACAAATTATTATTAACGACACGTCTAATGTTGAATAATCTGTTTTCATAAAAAATAACCATTTCATAGTAATATAATAATAATGCATTAAATGCTGATATTATGATATCCATTTCCTGTTATCTTCGAAAATTATTATATAATTTACTCAAAGCTCCATTTAAAAAATTTCAATTATCTCCATTTTATAAAATTAAAATTTTCTGCAAAATAAATTACATTAAAACAAGAAAAAGACAAAATAACACATTTCGCTCATAAAGCTAATTGGATATAAAGTGCAAATTGGATATAAAAGTATAGTTCGATTAATTAACTAACTTAATTAAAAAATGAAGAACTCTTACGATAAATCGAATATGCAACATAGAGCAAATTAAAAAATAAATACAGTTGATAAAAAAATGCAAAACTCAAAATAATAGCAAAATGTACAGCATGCATGCATATTCATTATACAATATTATATACACAATATCTTATCATGATAGGGACAAGTAGCAAATCAAATATAATCATACAAATAAATACAAATAAGTATGAATAATATGCATATACACATCATAAATTTTTCAAACGTACGAACTGTATATTGTCTTGTTTCTCTAGACGAATGTGTGCATTTAATGCAACACATCTGCAATTATAGACGTGCTAGAATGTTAAATAAAATGACATTTGCATAAACTCCATTTATTAGAGTAATCAAATTGAATACATATAATTAAAAAAAAGTTATTCGATGAATTTTTTGCCATTAAAATTTTAGAAAGAAATTATTCTTCTTTCAACAAATTAAAATTTACTTAATGATGTTTTATGAAATTATAAATTCTTACAAATAAATTATTAATAATTTTTTTTTAATATATTATAATTCGTATTAAAATAATGTTAAATTTAATATAGAAAGGGGATATATTTAAATGCATATAATCGAAATCATTCCGATAAATGGAGTTCTATTATAATACA